AAACACATTTAATATGTACGAAACACATTCAAAAATGTACAAAACATTTTCAAAAAATGTACGTAACATATTCAAAAATGTTCATAACGCATTTAAAATTAGACTTACCGGTAATGCAGAAATAGGATAAATTTATATTATTAATATTTGTCAACTTTTGGTAGAAAAATAGATTATATAACTGCAATGATCCACTGGAGTTAGAAAACACATGATTGACTTTTCTATACTTACTCTGTAGATTCCTTGTCAAGCATCGAAACATACGACACTATAAACTTCACATACTCATCGTGCTGCTCATCAACTGTTTTAGGTGTGCCATCTGGCCAAAAACAATCAGCAATGGGCATACCAAATGACACCTGGAGAAAAAAGAAAGAAAAGTCTGTTACGAATGCACTCAAATCGAAGCTCACACACAAAACCATAGCTTAACAATTACAACCATGTCTAGAGAAAATCTAGATATTAAATAACAAACAAGCATTGATAATGAATAGTCCCCGTTCAGTTTGAGCTGTAGCCGATGTAAATGTTCTGTACAAGTGACATGTAGCAATGAAAGATCAATGTTTTTTTAACACTAACACAGATTATAGATTGTGTTACTGTCAGTATAGTACTTACGTGGAAACTTTGAACTGAATTGGACTATATCTTACAGAGGAAATAGCATGAAAGTAAAAACACAGCCATCAGGTATTGTTGTTCAAGTATCTCCAAAAGTAATATGGCTTGCATCGTAACCTAATATGTAAGGTCATCATACAAAGTTTGATGGATTTAAAATGCCTGTTCAATTACAAGAAACAGTTCCAGACATGTTACAGAATATGATTTTAGGTTTTTTTTTGACAAAATGGCCACCATTTCATCAAATTTGATAAAATCTCAAGACAAAACATGTTGTTGTGTTACTTTGCAGTATACTACCTAATATGTACAAACTTGGAACTGAAATACGTCATATCTTTCAGAGGAATCAGCACAAAAAGGAAAAACAAAATGGCAGTGAGTTGGCCATTTCAGTTCAGATTTCGAAAAAAATATGACATGCACCTGTAATCCAATATGCATGATCACCATACAAATTTGGATTGAAATCGCCCTATTCAGCCCTGAGAAACAGTTCTGGGCATGTTACAGACGTTACGTGATTTTAAGATATTAAACGAAATGACCGCCATTTCAACAAATTTGATCAAATCTCAAAACAAAACATGGTGTTGTGTTGTGTTATCTTGAAGTACAGTACCTATGTACAAACTTTGAACTGAATCAGGCCATATCTTATGGAGGAATCAGCACGAAAACTAAAAAATACTAAATGGCCGCCAGTCAGCCATCTTGGGCCAAATCTCGGGGGAAAAAAGCTGCCAGTCAACCATATTTAATCGAATCATAACGAAAATTGGTGTGTTTATGTAGGTCATCATACATTGTCTGTATGCCAAGTTTGAACAAGATCGGTGTCTGGAAAATGGCTCCAGATGGACACATGAACTCATGGACGGACAGAACCCAAATTAATAGTCCTCGTTTTCGGACTTCGTCCAAACGGGAACTTACAAGTAATTGAAGGAAAGTAAGAACATTAACAGCCAGTGAATTTAGAAATAAGACTCAAAGCTATAACTTCATTCAAAAACAAAATAGCAACCAGTCGGCCATTTTGAGTTCAATCTGATAAATGTAATAATGCGCATTAAGATCTTATAAATGTACCTACAAAATCTGTCTCAGCATAAAAAAGATCTAAATGCTTGATTTTTATGAATTTTTAACAATAAAATGGCCACTATTCAGCCAATTTGATTGATTGTATAATGAATACATGTTTATATGTGTGACATGATGCATGATTGACCAGGGAATGTCTGAGATACAGCTTTAGAACTATTAAAAGGCATCCATTTTGAAACAATGCAATAATATATCTTACTTAATAACGTTATATCAGAGGAACATTAGATTAGCTAGCATACTGTTTCCAGATGCTATTTTTCCTGTGGAGGCTCTCAGCAGGACAGGTGTTGTGTTAAAGTGTGGTAGGCCTGTTTATAACAGATTCCTTTGAGTTGCATACACAAGTTTCGGAGTAAACGATTTACTATAAACTCTGTATTAGAAGCTGCATTCTTAAAGAAGCCACATACACTGTAACCTCAATATAATGATCACCTTTGTAATGAATTTCCTGATATAATGAACACAGAGCATATCTCCTGCTCACAATAAACCCATGTATTATGTGCTTCAATATAATAAAAATTTCACTATAACAAACTAATTGTATGTCCCCCAAAGAGTTCGTTATAACGAGGCTACAGTGTAATTAAGAATCAGAAATCCACCATTTGCATATATGTTCCAATAGAAGTCGCATCCCCTCTGTTACATTGTACCATTTTAATGGAATAGAAGCTGCAGGTTCTAATACATATTATACTAACTATCAAACACAGGTATGATATGATTATAGCAGACAACACTGATACACAAAAATCATACCCTACCTCACTCCTTAGTAGTCGGCTTTTAGGATTTTTTTTGTCCATAGATTCATCAACATACCAATAAAATGTTTGATGTGTCATAGCTTTTTTTAAACTCCCATCAATGTCAGCAAGATGAGATCCCATGCCATCATACATGACCTGTAAATATGAATGATATACAGAACAGATTAGTAAAATTAGTAAAAAGTTTATTCTGAAATGAAGATTATACACATCATCTTTATGCTTCATTAATGTGGGTTTGTATCATAATATATATCACAAAATTTTGCAAAGTGACAAGAGTGAAATAGTCGTGCATTATTATAGTCCGAAAACGGGGACTTATGTTTTGACCTTTGTGTATCTGTGCTTGGGCGCGTGAGTGCGTGCGTGTGTGCGTGAGTGCGTGCGTGCGTGTGTGTGCGTGCGCGAGTGCGTGCGTGCTTTTCGGACTTGTATCTTAGAAATACCTGGACCAATCACAATCAAAATCAAGTTGGAAATGAGTAAATGAAAGTGAAACGAAGCCCCCAATTATATATACATTGCAGCACCCACTAGAAGTGGGATATCGTCTACTTCAGGTCTGCAGGCAATATTTGCCACAAATTTTTACAATCTTAGTAGTCCTTTGTATAATTCCAAAAATGTTTTTCTATTATTGATTTGTTCTAATTGTAGTCTTGAATTTCATTATCCCAGATTTCAGACCCACAAAATAACATTGACTGAATACACCTTTGAATAAAAGTTCCACAGTTTGCTTCTTTTGGCAGACACTTTCAGTGCATACATTGCGTGAGCTGCTTTATCTGCAAAATTTTGTTTGGCTTCAGTATAGCAGCCATTTGTACATACCGGTATCTATGAATTCTAATATTGTTAAAACATTTTTAAAATTTACAATTAATTTAACCAGTTTCCCACTATATACCATACAATAAGAAGATCTCTCCCATAATGCATTGCATATATTTGCAGTAACATGATTAGTTCAATAAAACATTCTAATTTGGCTCAAACTGTCTTAAATCAGAGGTACATTACTTGGGGTTTGCAACTACGGTGACATGATACCAAGACCCCTTTTCAATCTCGGTCTTGCATAAGCGTTCCAACTCAAAAAAATGCGATTGCGCATGCCCAAGGTAACTAGGATACTGAGACGTCTAGTGGATCAAAATAGCTGCCCACGATATGACGGATTACGATAACTATATTTTCTGTACATTTTTGATGTATTACAATTTTCACTATGAATGTGTTAATACGTGTTTTATTGATTATTACAAACTGCCTATGTCATGTCAGAAGGTCGTAACATCAGTCTCGCTATCTACGAGATGAGACTTGAATGGGATCTTGACATGATGTCACCATACAATACTATGCGCGTTGCAAACCCCAAGTAATGTACCTCTGCTTAAATCAATATGTAGCCATTGATCTACACGTTTTTGGCCAAATAAGTTAGTTAATTCTGCAACCATGTTTTCCCTTCAAGCTAATATTCAAGAATCACCAATAGTATAGTTATTATTAAATTTAGACACAACACTCGCTCTGGTTAGAGGAGTTGTAAGGTCACTAAAGTTACATAACAAGGACAAAATAAGTGCAACAGAAAAAGAAAGAGCATATAAGAAATTTGTGAAAAAAATGTAACTCGCTTTCTCAATATAATTATTTGATGATGCTGCTTTATAGACAAGTTGTATTAAATAAATTAAGCTGTTTCAGTAATTATAAAAGTAAGTTCATTATAAAAATAAATTTAGTTTTTTTGTCTTGATTCATAAAACAAGGGATGGATTTTGAAGGTTCTTCACAGAGCCATTGTCATGACAACCCTACACAATTTGTTTTTAAAATTTGTTTATATCTTTTGATCATGACCTGCAGCAAAGGATGAAATTACATTGTACGAATATGTACATAGCCAGTAATGGCCACCATATGACAAAAACAAATTGAAGTGATAGTTTTATACTGACCTTGCCATTTACTTCTGACGGGTAGAAATAGGTCAGCAATGAGTTTACTGGAGCACAGTAGTCAATCACGCCGAGTGCCTCGTCTTTGTATGATTCGTAATTTTTAACACAGAAATCAGTAAATTGTTTATGCCCAACGATCTTCTTCTCAATTTGATGGATGACGCTTAATCTCTCCTCTGTAAATACATTATGTTCATTGTCGCCTTTTGCCAAATAGACCAACGACATCTTCCAACGCTTATTACGATGACGCTGAATGATCTCACGTTTTGAACGTTTTGCAGACAATGACTCTTGATATCCATGCAGAAATTTTTGTAATGAATGCTTTACGATATTTGCCTCTGAAAATTCATCCGCATCCCTCTTTCTGCGATGCGTCAGATCTTGGATTGCAGTGTTAAACATATCTTCTCGTATGTAACTAACATGGTTTGGTATCTGAAAGGAGTCTAATGATATGTCTATATGGGGGGTTTCAAATCCTGTTAACGCATACCAAAGTAGAAGAGATGTTGTTATCGTGCTCCCAACTATGATAAACATAGCAATGAAAGGATTAGAGAACACCAAGCCAATAAAAACCCAGAATCTTCGTACTAAGGGGTGTGAGCCTTTGAATGGGTTGGCACCGTGCTCAACTGACGCCTGTTGTTGTGGTTCTTCCTCCCTTTGACACTGTTGCTGCTGATGAATGGTAACTTGTTCACGATAGTTGTTGCCGTCATTACCATCAACATCAAGAACACCATTACTGTAATTTTGCAGTCGTAGTTCTTGCTGCTGTTCATGATGAGAGAAGGTGATGTCATTTCTCAGGTCATCGTCTAGTAGGTCAAAGTGTCTATACCCGGTGAAGTCTCTCACTTCTGTGTCGCCAAGAAAAGTCATCTTGTGTCCCGATCACCATTAGCTGAATTAAACGAGAACAAAAAGTGTTACCGCGTATATGTATGCATCTCTAAATGCAATTATAATAAACAATATTTGGAGAGATATTTAAGTAAAATTTTGTAGGTAGACTTGTTTCTTTAAGCAGTCAGCGCAACTTAACTACTCAGAATAGTTGGTAATAACTTCTAAAGCCGAAAAATGTGAATCAAACTAGAAAACCCAAAGTTATTGGCACACCTGCAGGTATGAAGAACTGCATATACATTTGTACTGGCAGAAATGTTAATAAACAACTATAAAAGTCAATATAGTTGGCAGACCCAAGTTGTACAACCTTGGCCTTAAACATACATATACTGTAAATAAAGTATAAAATGTGCAATGCCATGAAAACAAGGGTTCTACGTAAATTTTAAATTCCAATGATGCAATACTTCCCAATGCATGATGGGTAATCAAGCATTAAGACACCAGGTACCAGGTACATTTCAATCAACTTATGAACCTTAATGACCAATTCAGCTTGATCTTACAATTTTTAGATTTTCTAGCCCTGTATTTTTATCTTAAATTTAACACCTAGTGTTTTTCCTTAGCTAAGCCTAATACCTAATAGATGTAATAAATATAAATAATTTTATGTGTTGATAAAATAATTCTCAGAATTATCAGAGCAGATTATAATTATGAACAAGTTATTTATAACATGATAACTTTACAAACTGGACTTTTATTGTACAAATTATACTTGCATTGTAGTGAAAAACAAAATTAAAATTAATTAAGATATACACATATACAGAAAGTAACATCTTTATCCATATACATATCATATTAATAAATTAATTTTCGCTGAAAAGATTTGGTATTCTGTATGGAATTTATTTTCACTGACTTCTACCAAGTTGAATGTAAAATATAGGAAAAAAGGTATATTCGCTGCATTTTATTTTCACTGAATCATTCCTTCAGCGAAAATAGCGAAAATTAATTCCAAGCGAAAATAATGTATTTTACAGTAGGATATTTTAAGTAACCCTTTGCAGGTTTTATTTCCAGAAGATATTTGGAGAAAAATAACTGCAGTTTACAAGGTATCTTCAATTTTCTTTCATTGTTTTTTTGTATATTCATGAGGCTGAATTGAATTGAATTGAATACAGTAACTATTTATTTTGAATTTTTATCAACATTTGTTACAAATATGAATATCTTATTGATGGAACTAGATGTTGCGGAAGGTTATGAAAGTTGAATGAGGGTGAGGAGGTTAATGATGTCATCAGAATTCTCAAACATTCAGTACCATGTTCAATAGACCAGACACAGTACCAGATTCTTTCACATAAATAAACACAGCATTCATAAATAGTGATGAGATGCTGTAAAAGATGCTGGAATAAATGGTCAGACATTTAAAGAAAAAATATGAAACCCAATAAAATTATATCTTTTCTGAAAGCCCATTAAACTAGAAACACAAAAGTGGTCACATTTCATATACTAATTTAACCCCAAAAAAATGTCTTCTATATTTTTTTAAGAATATTGAGCTGACAACCAGTGTGCCCTTTTTGCTGTACGTGACATTACTACAATTTTGAAAAACATTAATATATAGTATAATACATCTGTCACTGTAACGCCATAAGTTACAGTGTGATGTAATTTCGTCCTACCATATTAGGAAATGCGAATTCCAAATATGGAATGATTACGCGCGTAAGCGTCCTCTAATAATAAAAACAAACATGGCTGCCACCAGAGTTTGACCGGACTCCTCTCCACTTCTGTTCTAAACCTTTTGGATTTCGGCATTCCCATATTTCCATGATGTATCACTGGGGGGAAAAGCTGTATAATAATAAGGTTATTACAAGGATACTGCAGAGTATGCACTCAGACAGTACACCGTCGCTTCGATCACCACTGCGTGTTGGTCGATACACCAGCTGTACTGTCTTTGAGCATACTTTGAGGTATTCTCGTAATAACCTTATAGTATAATACTTGTAATTTGGTAATTTACTCGCGAAAATAACAAAATTAAAACCCAGTGGATAATTAATGCATTCACAGTTAGTGTAAAAACAAAGGAAATCAAAGGCCACAGCATATAGTTTGTGCCACAACCGTGTTACTTAGATATATACATGTATATATATACAACCACATACAAATTTATTTTTCATTTAAACACCTTTACCCCCCCACTCCACAAGGACAAGGAGACAACATGTTCGCTCATATTACTGTAAAACGGTTAATTATTCACTGAGTTTTAATTTTGCTTATTTCGCTGACTGGAAAATGCGCTAAATTAAAACCCAGTGAATATGTAAAATTTAGCATAGAACACATTATCTAAATGATAAAACCGTGAATTTAAAACCCACTGAATATGCCTGAAATGGTAAATCAGTTAAATTTATAAACCCAGTGAAAATTAGTCATTTTACAGTATTTTGGGATTTTATTTAGACTCAGGGTTCCCACAAATAATCATCCCTGTTGGAGGGAACACTGCTGACAACACATCCTACAATGCATGTGGTCTAAACAGCTGTGTTATAGATTTTATCTTTACGTCCCTCAGACATAAACATATCCAGCCAAAAATACCCCTAAAAAATAGAATTTGTAAATAATGTTCGTTAAATCAGATTGGAGATGAATTACTTTTTTTACTACTTTGTCGTAAATAACACTTGGATCAACAACAAAAATTCTGACAAATATTGCATTCCCTACTAAAATCACCTCCTAAGTCATTCCAGAAACTTGTATATCTATTATTTTGCAAAGAAGACAATTCAATGCAATTTAAAATGCTTTAATTTGACAAGACAAAGTTTCATAAATTTGGTGTCATTCAACACAAATTATGAGAACTTACAATTGAACTGAGTTTTTATTTGAAAACATTCATCCGATTTGTCAAGAAAGCAGACACACAAATGTACCGTAACAGAGTAGCAATCATTTTAATGGATTCAACGCAGTATATACTGCCTGAACTGATCACATAAAACATGTGTTACCATAGCAACTATGACAATAACTGATCTTATGTTGTAACGCTGAATTGAGCAATTCAATATATTTCACTGTGATGATCTCTTCAATCCATGTCTAGCAAATATTGTCAAACAATGCAAACACGCAAGATTTATAGATAGACGAATTTTTTTTTTTTTTTATTTGGAACGTACTAATGAAATCTTGAGTAAAGTCCAAAAATAACAATAACAAAACAAAACATTCAGAACAACAAAAACTTACAGTACTAAAACATATCAAGAATATAGAAAATAAATTTTGCAAAAATGTAAGAATGAAAAAATCATTACTTGAAACAATAATAGGAAATAATTCATCATTGCTAAAATCTTCCAGCTTATATATATATATATATATATATAGCTGATGTATATATCTTACTATGGAAGATGAAGTGGTAGGGGGCAAAAGTAGGAAATTAGAAAGGGAAAAATTATGAGGAACTACTGGGGGAAATGACAGCTGGCTCTTACCATTTGAACACAACCACAACAAGACAAATGGGGAATATTAGCAGGGATTGCCCTAACCCCATTTTGCTTCCTGGACTCCAATTAATGAAGAGGGACCCAGTTTTTCAGGCAAGCTGGGGTAAAATCTCTAATAAAGTTATCCAGGGTCAAATTTCAATTACTTAAAACTTTGTAAGTGGGACTCGTCTTGCTAAAACACGAGCGTAAACCCTGGTATTGGACATCAATTTTATGTGATTTTTTTCTTCTCTGAATAAGGTCAAATACTGCCATTTCCACTGAATGACTAAACACAAACCAAAAGGGTAACAAGTCACAGATTACATCAGTGCAAACATTTAATTATAATTCTAATAAATTACATATATTGGACAGTGAATACACTCTTCATTATCACAGTCATACACAGGCACCAGGCCTTAGTACCAGGTTTTTAATTATAGACAATTACAATCTGATTAAAACAAGCCATGCATGGCACAGTCCCCGTTAGTTATCAAA